TAGCCCGCAGGAAAGATCAAAATCATATAGATTGATAAGGTAGCAGCCACTTTAACGCTGTCCACAGGAAAACTGATCTTTGTCTTTTGCTACTGTTTCTATACCTTTATTGCTCTGATTACATTAACATCTCTTCTCCCTTGCTTTGGATAGCAGATCAGAGACTCCCTTTTTCATATTCCTACACATTTACTGTAATCCTCAGCCAATGTTTTCAGATCAATGTGAATTCCTATTTTCTGATGCAAACTGTCTCTAGTGTTCCCAGTATCAGATCAAAATACCATGGGCACATTAGAAAAACACTGATACAGTAAAACTTACTGGTTCAATGTTGTTGAAATTTGTAGACTAACTTTGTGCCAGCAGGCTTTGTACCCAGTCAAATATCATCTGTCCAAACATTTATGTTTCTGCTAGAACATGTATTTCTCCTCTTTGTATGTAATATAAAACCAGCATATAACTACAGCACTAGCTCTGTCTTCTCTGTCTGATTCAGCAATGCTGAGACTGGGGATTCATGCACAGAGCAGGATATGTTGTTATCAGGAAGGGGGTTGATGTAATATTGCAGTGATTGCTCTTATTAAAATAATGTGATAACATAATTTTAGCCTGGGAAACCAACTATATCTGTGGATTCTTCTGCAGGAATTCAGGGCTAAGGCTGGCATGGGGTGGCAGGAGTCCTTGGAATTGCTGCACAAGCTAAGCTTAATCAAACTTTGTCTGCACTGAATTTCAGATTTGGGGCCTGTCATCCCACTCATGACTGAATATGCCCACGGGTACATCCTTCAGACCATCAGCTGTGCTGGCTGGATATTAGGCATGCTGCTTTTGAGTTAAAAGTTGATTATTTAGGGCATTCAGAACCATTTTCATCCCACGGCTATGCTCCTTTCATACATCCGAAAGGGTGTTTAAGCCTTATCTTCAAATATCATACCAAAAAAGGTGTGGAGATATTCGTCTTAGGCTAAAAAGCTTGTGGAATTTGTAGTCTGCTTCTCTTAATAAAGAGCTTTGATTCATAGGACTGAACTGAGCCAAATTCTTATTTTCTAATCAGAAACTTTATTTTTCTCACCTAAGTATTTTAATAAATAAATTAAATAAATAAATAAATAAATAAATAAATAAATAAATAAGATTATACATAGAAAGTGAATATTTTCCTTTTCCTTGTGTAATGTTTAGATGCCTAGCTTTTTAATGGCTTTTAATCATAGTCAGGACTCTTCTTAAACTTATCTTACTCATTTATCAGCAGTTAGAAGATGGACATTTAATTCTAGTTTTAACCACAAAGTAGTATCTATGACATATGCAAAAGTCGTCATCCTACATCCACCACTGTTTTGCTTCTTCTGGGGGCTAGGAGACAGATTTGGCTCACTGGCAAACCACCGGGAAGAATAATAGCTCCATCTGGCACATGAGACATGGGGCAAGGGGAAGAAAAAACAATGTTTTGTCCTTCAGCTACCTGAAATGCAAGTTCAGCAGGAGCTCAGGCAAACCTCTGAAACCGGGTGCCTTGTGCAGTACATAAGGATGCTGATGCTGAACAACAGCATGTAGCAGGTAAGGATCAGAGAACACAATTTAAGCTTATTGGTTTGTCAGACTGAATTTCCTGGCTGGCTAATAGGCTATCTTTCCTTCCATTTGTCAGTGCTCTCTCATTGTCAAAAGGTCCTTGTACTCATCCGTCTCAAATAGCCATGTATTATTTTACTATTTCTCTCTTTAGAGAAGTTTTTCTCTCCACTGGAACTAAGCAGCACCAACTTTCTTTGTGTATCCAGCCCTTGTTTCTTAACAGTTTTATACTTGGCTTTTAAAATATTTACAATTAAAAGTGATTCTCCACTTTCCCAACTGAGGTTTCACTGTTTCCCTTCTCAACATAGAGAATTGGACCTTAAAAAGCACCAAATCTCTAAAAAGTGTTAAGAATGATAGAGATACTATCTTCACAGTATCATGCAGGTGCTAGAAGTTTTTAAACCCCACCAATATTACCTGAAACTTTGATTGCCTCAGCATCAGCAGCCTGAATTTGAAATTTCCTGTGTTATCTTCAAAATGTAAAAAATTATCTTTTGGAAGATCATCCCTGTCAGACCTGAGGAGGCCAAGACTTATTTTTATGAGCTGATACTGTTTGTGATTTAGATTGTTCCCTTTCTTTGCCCTTAACTACATAAGAAGGCCATGGGTGGTGTCCATGTGAACAGTTTGGTTTAGCAATAGCAACATAAAAATAGCAACTAAAAGCTGATTCTCACACCACAAGAATACCAGCATGAGAACTTCAAGAAGATTTCTCACCGTGTTTGATGGTTTTCTTATCGAGAACTACTGATTTCTCCAGAAAGCACTTAACGACCTTGTAATGAAAGCACAAGTTAGATGATATTAATATTATTGTGTTACTCTACTAGACTGAAAGCGATACTTTACTGATCTAGTTGCAAAGTTTAGGGTGGAGTTAAAATAAGGACATGAAGTAAAGCCCCATGCTAGCTTGTTGTCAATGACTGCTTCCAAGAGACAAAAATGTAAGGTAATTCATGGCCATTTTTGTTTTGGAATCAAGTAAACTGGGATACAGCCATCAAGCTGTTGTCTTGAGTGTTTTTGGATACAGAAAGCAGCATGCCTTAGCCGTGCATTTGACCCCTGCTCAAATGCAGAGACCCAGATGTGAGAATGAAATCTCTTGGTGCATGCATGCAGTGTGATGATGCTAATCCACTGGAAGAACTCAAGAAAGAATTCTTAGTCAAAAATACTAAATTCAGCTTGCACGAAAACTTCAGCTAGATATGTATTAGATGAAGAGTACATTAAATGAGTGCTGGGATGAAGCACAAGAGGAATGGAAAGTCTCATGAGGTCTTTTAAGTGACAAGAATTTTGCCTGGATGCAACATGTGAGGTGTGATTGGCTCATGTTTTGGTGATTCTACAGTCATGAATGGGAATAGGAACACATACTGTCTTACTTGGTTAACTCTTATGGCTGCTTATATATGGAAAGCTTGATTTTCCAAATACTATCTGAATCACTCACAATTAATCAAAAGAGGCCTCTGCTCAGCAGTAGGTCAAAAAAGACGTATGCTACTCCTCAGTCACATTTCTCATTCATAATTTCTCATTCATACAGTTTCACAGGGGATTCCTCTGTTAACTAGCTGTTTCAGAAACTTGTCATATGATAACTGTCAAGGCTTGCATTCTTTTTTTTTTCTTTTTTTTTTTTTTCCTTTTTCTTTTTAACACTGAACATTAAATCTCCTTTGAATATAGAAGTAAGATATTGAATGTATGTTTTTGTGTATGGTTGTCTGCATGTATTTGAAGGCTTGTCTGGTTCACTCTGAGGCTGTGCCTCAAGGCTTTCCCAGTCCCTGTGGCTTTTCAGTGAAAGTTAATATATATATTTTTATCATTATCCTCAGAGATGGGTCCCTTCTCATGTATACCAGTTTTGCACTAGCCTCCATGGGAAGAACACTAAATGAAATAAATTGCAGAGGTTTCTGAAACAGCCAGGCAGAGAGAAAATCAAATAAATCAAACAAGTAACATTTCTGTGATTAAATCTGTTTTACTAACATAGCATGGAAACCAGGAGAATCGGTCAAACAACAGTAAGTATCAGCCTGTGGTTAGAAACTTTTTTAGTTTTTTAAACAAAACTAAATAAAAAACAGCTCTTTTCTCAATGTTCTTCCTGTTTCAAGTGCCTCCATCACTGGCTCCCCAGCACCAGGACTAGGGGATAATCTCCCTGAATATCTGAGGCGTAGAAGCCAACAGGATTAAAGTACCTCGTGCTCCTCAGCACGGTCATGTGGTGAGCTGCTGATCCCAGCAAAAGGATTTCTCAGCAGAGTTCTCACTTCATTTCCCTATATGTTGTCCCTGCCTTCCTGACATTCTATGTACCATTCTCAACCATTAGGAAATAATTCACAGTGCCATTAGGAAATAATTCACAGTGCTTTTAGGAAAATAAATAAATAAATAAATAAATAAAAATACTCCTCTAATAACAATGACAGCCGAAGAAAACTGGAAAATTCATGTGCAATTTGCCCAGAAGGAAACCAACTGTTGTCCTTTTAATTCAAGGGGCAATTTCAAAGTATGTATAATGTCCAATGTCTCTCATATCAATCCATTAGCTCTGATCAGGCTTTCTTAGAAGAAGAAAAAGGAGGTGGGAGATCTGGAGTAACATACATGTATTGAGCAACCAACACAGATAGGGGATTTTCAGACTTCACAGTGGGAGAAAGACCGAAGTCAAGGCTTGTTTTCCCGGTCCTGCTGAAAGTACTTTTATCAAGTCTGTTGGCAAATTGCCTGTATTCTCCAAAAAACTGCAGAGATTCGGGTGCAGATTTGAGTGTAGTCTTAGCCATTAATGTGCTATTGATTCCAGTGGAATTCCACTATTTTTGCTTGAAAAGTTTGTCAGCTCTCTTGTGAAGACACTTTGTTATATGCTAGCCTGGAAAAGGTAGCTGATGCTGAAATATGAAAAATGCCATGCAAAATCATTTATTTGGTTTCTGCCCTATATGCACACTTAATATGACCCCAAATTTGTTTGCCTTTTCTTAAAAAAATAAAATGTAGTCTACCCCAAAAATATTTTTCTCATGTTTATATTCACTGTGCTTATTTAATTGGTCAGATTCTTCTGAGTTTTTTTAAACAATCATTTACACCAAAGCACACTAACAACTATTTTGAAGACCTGACAGTTGTTTCTACATCCAAATTTTAATTTTACTTCCTCTCCAATTGCCAGAAGAAAGCAATCATGTGCTAAGCAGAAGATTAAAACTTTGTAATAAATGCCTTTATTTTGAAACCTGTAGGGGGTGGGCGAAAAAGTCAGTTGGCTTCCGCCCAGAACATGTGATAATCAGATTAACTATGAAGTGTATTCTGTGTGTTAATGTGCCCAGGGTAGGAATGGGGAAGGACATTGTAGGGTGTAGTGTAGCAGAAGTCAGCAGTGAAGCATTCTCAGCAGAAGGGAGAAAAATTCTTTCATACCCAGGACATTCCAGGGTCAGAGAGGTCTCTACATTCACTGAAGCATAACACTGATGCTGTCCTGCTGCTCTGTGAGGATGTCTCTGTTTGCTATGGGTTTCCTGCTAGTCATCCTTCAGCCATCCACCGGGCAGTTCCCCAGGGCCTGTGCAAACACCCAGAGCTTGCTGAGGAAGGAGTGCTGTCCTCTCTGGGATGGAGATGGGTCCCCTTGTGGGGAGAGTTCCAACAGAGGGGCCTGCCAGGCCATCCTTCTCTCTCAGGCTCCACTGGGGCCACAATTCCCTTTCTCGGGAGTGGATGACAGAGAGGACTGGCCTTCTGTGTTTTACAACCGGACCTGCAAGTGTAAAGGTAACTTCATGGGATTCAACTGTGGGGAGTGCAAGTTTGGTTTCTCAGGACTCAACTGCACTGAAAGGCGACTGAGAACGAGAAGAAACATCTTCCAGCTCACCAACAGTGAGAAGGACAAGTTCCTTGCCTACCTTAACTTGGCAAAGAACACCCCCAGCCAGGACTATGTCATTGCCACCGGCACATATACTCAGATGAACAACGGCTCCAACCTCATGTTCAGAAACATCAACATGTATGATCTCTTTGTGTGGATGCATTATTATGCTTCTCGCGACACACTCTTAGGTGGGTCCAATGTGTGGCGGGACATTGATTTTGCCCACGAAGCCCCTGGTTTTCTGCCTTGGCATCGTCTTTTTCTGCTGCTCTGGGAACGTGAGATCCAGAAGATAACAGGTGATGAGAACTTCACCATCCCCTACTGGGATTGGCGAGATGCAGAGGACTGTGTGGTCTGCACGGATGAATACATGGGTGGCAGACATCCAACTAACCCTAATTTACTCAGCCCAGCATCATTTTTCTCCTCCTGGCAGGTAAGGACAGGACGAGGGGAAAAGAGGGGGAAGAAGAAGAAGGGGAGGACAAGGGGAAGGGAAAAGCTGATTGTGTCAGAACTATCCTACCTAACTTTAGGTACTTAAGTGAGGTGCACAAGCTGGAGAGAAAGTAAACTGCCAGAGAACAAATGATTTTACATGGACTTGATCTTCATTTACAGCTGTTCATTCATCTCTCTGTCTATTCTTTGACTGTAGGACTTAGACAGCTTAATTAAGAATAAAAAGTTAGTCTAGAAGGAAGAAAGTCATGGTTTTGTGTCCAAGCATGACCTTTAGCAAGCTAAACAGGCTCAGGTCTTCTGAAGCAGCCAGCAAAGATTAAAAAAGGATTTATGTATGCAAGTTGCTAGCACTGTAACCATTGCAAGACAGCTGGTGACTGAATAATGGAAATAGAAGAAAATAGTTCTCAGAGGCTCTACCCCTCTCTGGGTATCTTCCTCCCTGAAAGTGTTAAAAACTGTCCAATTAATCTTGTCTGCTTTCAACTTAAATAAACAAACAAATAAATAAGTAGTCTTTAGAGCATGGAAGAAACAGCTGTGTTATTCTCCTCTGTAGCTCAAAAGAAAAATAAGAAGTGATCTCTGTTGCTCAGAGGAACTAAGAAATAAACTCAATAGCTATTCCTGCCACTTAAAAGCACTGCAAGTTAGTCCCTAAACCAAGATTACTGTATATATTCACCTAGGAGATATAGTTGATATTTACCTAGGTTTCATATATTTGAACTGTGCTATTCTAACAACGGAGGCTTCTAGATGTTTTTAGCCTCTTGGTCATTACTACCAGTGCCTAGTGACATAAGCTTCCATAGACGTATACCATCTTGACAATAGAAACTGTTCCTTCTGGTGCTGAAGTCTATGAATATATTGGTGTAAATCTTGCTTTGTTCTATTTATTTCTGTACCAGTAGCCTAAACGAAGGTTGAGCAGTTTTAGTGATTTAATGAAAAGTGAAAGAGATACAAGACAGCAGCTCTCAGATTACAAAGCAATGACTAACAGGGCTTAATGTACTGGTTTTCTGTGTTTAATCTTGATTTGTGTCCCCTAAACAACATAGACTGTGTCTGTACCTGTAAACTCAATCATTCCTGGGTACTGTAACATACCTATTTTAGGACATTCTTTGGCATACATTTTATTATATTATACAAATATATGTAAGTAAATATATATATATATATCATATATATATTTATATGTAGTTCTACTCCAAGCAGGTACTTTTCAGGGACCATTTCTGGGAGACTGTTTGCATATAGTTAAACCGTTTGGGAGACAAAGATGGGTTTGCTAGCATAGACATGGATTATTCTGTGCCATTTGGTCCTAGTGCCTGGGAACATTCCTGGCCACATTTAATTCACCAGTGTAGGCATAGCCATAAAATGCATATAGCCAAAACCATGTATTTTGATCCTATATGTAAAGTTTCCACTCATTTCTAACAGTATTTATCTAGATGAACTCTACTAATTTAATTAGATTGCATTACCTGAATGAAGTGGATCTGATGTTGTTCAGTGCTAAACTAAATAAAGAGTTACACGGAAATGGTACAAGTGTTAAAGTGGAATAAATGAAACTGGAATTGAGCTGGCTACCTGTGTCTAGTGGAGCTATCAGTGCAATACACTGGATGAGATAACCAAAGTAGTGGGAGACAGGGACTATAAAGGAATCAGCAAGTTGCAAGAAGTGTTTTCTAAAAGCCCTGGAGGGATCAGATAATTATGTGTAGCTTACTTTTTCAACAGTATTATTAATCATATCCAGATTATTGGAATTTTTCCATCCTTGTAATAAATACCCAGACACTTTACCAGTGGTAATGAATATATTTAAGAAATAGTCTGTTTATAACTTCTTATTTAAGGTCATTGTCACAAATATACTCGGAAAATAATTGCTTTTTTAATGAGATAAGTTGATTTTAAAATATATTTTTATAATTTTAGTAGGCACAACAATGAAAATTGTGCTATATTTAAAACACATCAATGTCAGCATGTAAAAGCACCTAAGTATTTGCTGAAACTCTCCAAGTAATTTCTGCAAATGGTTGCTTATCACTTACATTTTTCAGTCACTTCTGGAAATAATACACTTTCATCAAAATTTCTGAAACAGGATTATAAAAAATTTTAACTTCAAATAGTGACATTCCCATTTAACATCTTCTACCTGCTGCCTTATTTAGAGAAAGAATGAACGAGATTGATCAGAGCTGCATTTTCAGTCAGTTCAGGATGAAGATACCACACAAACTGATATTTCTTTATTGGCCTTGAATTCAAATTTAAATAATAGCATATGATAGAATAACTTAGTTGATACAGTTCCTTCAAGTAGCACAAAATAAGAGATCAGAATCTCACTTCAGAAAATCAAAAGGGAACAAAAATAGACTTAGCTTCAGCCGGAAAACAGCCATAGCATAGATTTGCTGCAGAATATGTTGTCCAAGCTCTGTAGCAAAGGAAAAAAAAAAAAAAAAAAAAAAAAAAAAAAAAAAAAGGAGGATCCAAATAAAAGGAGGATCCTGGGATCCTGTGAAGGAATTTAGGCTTTTATAAAACATTCAAAATAAAAAGAGGGCAGGAGAAACCTATTCAATAACACATCTATTATATGGTATCCTTTTATAATTTTAAGTCTCTTTCCAAAGCATAACAAAATAATGTTTGTTACATTAGGAAATTCTGCACAAGATGCAGTTATGGATTTATTTAAAAAAAAAGGCAAAGTGCTTATTTGCAGAAAAGCATCTCTCTCTCTCTCTTTTTTTTTGTTTTTTTCTTCTTTTTTTTAAGCCCTAAAGAAAAGAGAAAATACTTTATTCCATTGAGAAGTTGCCATGGCAACATGGATATCCGTGAATACATGCTGAAATTCTTGCTTTTCCCTTACTTTTTCTTCGGCATGCTGCTGTTACCATTTAGCTGAGTGAATTATCTGTCCACATTTTTCTCATGTTTATTATCTAAGTTAAACTTTTGATTTCTGACTGTTTTTACCAGCAAGACTATCAGAAATCATTAGTGTTTTTGTTTGTTTGCTTTGTTTATGTTTTAGGGTGGGTGGGACGGATTTTTTTATGCTTTCAGTTACTTGTTTGTGATGATTCAAGTGTTGCATTTAGATTTATTTAGGACTGCATGACACCTACTAATGCTTTACCAAGTTTTGCAATTCCATGCTGATTTAACAGAAAGTGAAGTGGCAAATACAGATTTTCCATGACATTCTGAGAGTTTTTGTTTTGTTTTGTTTTTTTGGTTTTGTATTCATTTGTATAATTATTCAAGCTAATGGATTTGCTAAAGAAAGTTATTATGCCTCACTTAAATAGTAATAGATGAAATTCTGCTCTCCACTACACCAGAGATAATTTGGAGAAATTACTGAAGTCAACAGAGCGTTTTCTGCAATTAAAAGCAGAATCTTTACATTGGAAGTTAGCATCAGAGTTTTGGGGTTCCCCCCATGTGCTGGAGAGACAGTGAGGGAAGTGCTGCTTTAGGTTTGTAGTAGTGGAAACAAGGCCACACCACTGGATTCATCCCCCTGAATTTTGTCTCTTTCAAAAGAAGAGTTTTGTCTCTTTTGCCTTGAGAGAAGTAATTATACTGTGTAGAGAGCTGTCTGCTCTCAGCTGCACTGGTGTAAGCCTGGAGCCAATTCTTTGCTGCAAGCACCAAGAATTTCCCTTAGCACTTCATTCCATATCACCCTGCTTAGTGATATTCCATATCACCCACTTACACAAACACAAAGCTAGGGAACAAGTTACACAAATAGCAAACGGATACAAGGCTCCTGAACTAATGGCAGTACTTTAGATCCATTACCTGGAACATGACTTCATAAGAAATATGAATTTCAGCTATTCAGGTGCAGTTATTTAATTCTAAGCACAGTTTACCAAGGAACTATAATAGTCTGAGGGGAATGTTTGAAGCTCTGTTTTCTGTTCACCATTTAAAGGGTTAACAAATTTCAAAAATATAAACACCAGAAGCCAACACTTCTTAATTCTTAAACCAGCCGAGCCCTACATCCATCTGCTTGTGGACAGCTGAGTATCTCATAAATTATAACATTCAATTTTTATTGCAACTTATAGGTTTTAGTGTCATCCATAGGCTGGTAAATATATGTATATATATATGTGTATATATATACACTCATATATAAATAAATTAAAAAGCCCAAATGGAGCAAATAACTATTAAAAAAGAATTTATCAAGACTGATCTCATGATATGCTATCCTCCTCCCCCCAGGGAAGTGGAATCTGCACCCAGCAGAGACAGACAGTTGATCATCCTCTGCCTTTTTATGTCATTATCATCTGAAAGTAACTCCTGTGCTTCCATGGGATCGTGGATGGCTAAAAACAGAGTTTGGCATGTATATGACACTTCTCTAAAATATAGCCGCTGTTGATCAGGAATTGTGTAGTGTGAAAAAATAAGCATATTCCAAGGTATAGAAAGAAATAGCTAAGGAATTTCACAAAAAAAAAAAAAAAAAAAAAAAAAAAAAAAAGTTTTGTTTTTAATAATGCACCAAAAAAAAGAACTTACCTGTAGAAAGATGGGTTTTTGAGAATTTATGTTAGATGTGAATACAACAACTCTAACAGGGCACAGCTTGGAGACAAATAGAGATCAGGGAATCACATTCTGTCAAGCCATTATATTTCATCTGTAATTGACAGCAGGGTTTCCTACTCCACCCAAGCACCATTCTGAGGTGTTGAACCAGATGTAAATTATCCACTAGTTTTGGGCTGCCTCTGAGCAGAGATTAAACTCAGTCAGCCTTTCCTGAAGGATGAGAAAATACCTTGGAGGGCTTGGGTTTGTTTCAGTGATGTCACTTCATGTTTGTCTCATCTCTTCATAGCCTGAGTTTTGTAGCTCCTCCAGTAAATGCTTATGCTAGAAGGGTCACAAAGATAATTACATTTCTTTAAAGTTTAACTTCACATTTTATTTATTTATTTATTTATTTTGTCTGTTTTACCTTTCAGTTCCTGGTAATATTCAGGAGTACATGAAGATTCAGTTATAAAGACACACGGTCTATTACAAACCTTTGGGGCTACTATAGGTACAACACCTTTTAAAGTTCCACCTAAAAAAGTGATATCCCAAAGTATAGTTGTACAGTTAGTTCTATTGTAGATCATTTGGGAATTTCCTTGTATTTTTCTCATTTTGTGAGTACATTGGCTTCTGCATGCCACTTAATTAGGATTAGATCATGCCAGGCCCAAACGCAGCCCAAATAAATAAATAATTAAATAAAAATAAAAAGTTAACCTCTTTACAATTGCCACATGTTTTAAATCTGGCATGAGGGCTGCACTTTAATGACATTCCCAAGCAAGAACATGTGAATAAATGGAGAAAGACAGAGCAGAGAAAGGCACTGAACCAGTACAAAGTCTCTTTCAGACACATAATGGGACCCGAGGCTCCGATTTAGGCATCTAGACTTGTTATGGGACAAATAGACACAGGGGAATGCAGCAAAGAGGACTTGGAAATGCCCACATTCCACCCTTGGGAGAGGCAGGATGTGTCCCACAGACAAGCAAGTCAAGTGGTTGCTCTGGCTGCACTCTGAAGTACATATGTTTAGGCTAGATTAACCTGGAGCATAACACCATGAAAACATGCTGATAGAGTTTCTGGAGAGGAGTGGATTTGGGCTTGGTGAACTTTTGGGTGGTCCTCTGTGGAGCCAGGAGTTCGTCTTGATGATCCTTGTGGGTCCCTTCTGACTTCGGATATTCTGTGCTTTGATTCTATGCTACACATATTGCAGGTCCCTATAAGCACAGATCATACAAAGCAAGCACAAAGAATTTGTCATCAAAACCCCCAAAGCTTTGAATTTAAAAATAACAGACATAGGACTGAACACTGCCAAAGATTCCTGTAACACAATTCCTTTTATTTAGGCACAGGGTCTGGTCTGTGTAAGCAGTATCATACCAAAAGACAAAAGGGTTTCCCATTTGTGAAAAGGTGCGAGACAGCTGCAACAGTTCCACACACTTACAGTCTGTTTTCTAAGAAATGATACAAAGAGCTGTGCTAAAGATCTCAGCTGCAGTGCACCAAGGGATTTTTTTATTATTATTTTTTAATTTTTTGGGTGCTACAAGGCCCAGGAATGATGCTGCATGTTCTGGACTGCCATCTACTGGCATTTTCTCTCCTAACTACTTACATACACTGATCCTCAGAGCATCTTGCTATTTCTCTGGAGCATGTGGATTTATGAATGCAGAAGAGCAGACATTCGGTCTGAGTATGAAGCTTTTTACAGGGTGAAGAGATAAATTTGCTCAGGACTGTTCCAAAATGGAATAATAAAAAAAAAAAAGTGTTTAAGCAGTGTTTTGCTAGCAGAAACACCTACTGAATGACAAGAAGGCAATTATGTGACCTATTTTGTGTAAACTTTGTGCAGATTAAATCTAGAATAAAAAGTTTGATTGGCCTTTGTTCTGTTACAACTTACACAACACTTGACTGATGAAACAGCAAATAATAGTTTCAGGATAGAACCATATTTTGTAATACCTCAATTATACCTTTCTGGAAAAACATCCTGGCTAACTTTATGGCCAGCCTTTAATTTGTAGTGCAGAACAAATGGCAGAAAGGCACAGATAAGCATTTTCATTCCTTCCCCTTATGCTGTTATTTCATGAGCATGAGTTAATGGATACCTTATAGCATCTGGCTTCTGTTTGGTTAGTCAGACAGTTAACAAGGGCTACACTGAGACATAAATTGAACAATAACAAAATAAATAGACATTTATAAGCCTCATAACATTAAGAGTTGCATTAAATCACGCTGAAACAGATAAACAAAACACTGGGGAAATGTTCCTTTTTTTAGTATATTTGAGCACATGCCTGAAGATTGCCCATCTGAATATTTGAGTTTTGAAGGCAACATGAGATTCCTCTTTAGAACGCAACAGGGATGTGTCTCCGTGGTGGTGGGGAGAGGATGAAAAGACCGGAGATGACAGGGCAGAGAAGCCAAAAGAAGATCTACATAAGGACTGGAGAAAACAGAGCTAGACAGAAAGCTTGCATGCATGTAGTTTCCAAGCCAAATGCAGATTGGGAAATGGGTTGAGATCCACCAGCCAAGACTCACTTGTTTTCTTCACTAGTGCATTTCTAGGGACATAGGACTGTCCATTCTTTATAAACAAACAAATTACTAGAGTATTTCCCACAGCCTGAAACCCCTGTTTTCCTTTTAACTGCGTTGAACTACAAGATAACAATCATAAAAAACAATAGTATAGCTGTGCTTTGTGTTTATAAATGTAGGTCTTTCCATCTTGCTACATCTCCCTTCCTGCTTGAATTCTGAAAAGAAACTTCTTAGAACTGCCAGGAGGGATCGAGTTCTACACACATGAAACTCTGCTGGATAACCACCTATAGCCTCCAAGGGCATCTCACTAGTTTTAAGAGACTGGGGCAAATCTCAGTTAAAAGAGCAGTCTCAATGGATAAATTTCTCTGATAAGCTTTCTTATCTCTTCAAAAAAAAAAAAAAAAAAAAAAAAAAAAAGTCATGAGATACATATTCATAGGAAGCTTATCACTTAAGAACTCCAGCTCCTTAGGAAATCTAGGTTATATCACCAGCTCTGTCACACATTTTCTGTGAATTTGTGGTCAAATCACTTACAAAAAAGATATTTCTCATCTCCTTCCAGTCATCCAAAAGTTCATTAGGCAGCAAGGCAGCAAAGCAAGTTGCCTTTGTCTCTGTCTTTAGTGACTTCAGAGGCACATCCATGCCTCCAGGGTGTGATTCAGCCCATCCTAATGCAGAAGCAGAACATTAAGTTGAACACTCTTAATTTTGCTTTCCTTGCTAACTGCAGTACAGAAACAGTTTTAACATTGATTTTTTTTACACATTTTCTTTCATTGACTTAATCAATGGAGAGAGTTTGGTACCCCTTAGAAGTAAGTACACCTCACCTACCAGACGTCTGGTTTCGGAGGGCTGAATCACACGTGGGAGATGCCGCTTTCTCTCTATTGATTGCAGAAGTTGCTCTAAAGCTCTGCTTCAATCCAGCAATTCGTACACAGCTACTGCTGGCAAAGTGAATCTCCCACTCAATTCTTTCACTAACAGAGAATCACATGTTCTTCTACCTCATTCACAGAAGAAATGACTGCTTTCAATAACTTTCTTCATCGTTTCTGTCCATGAAACAGGAACACATCTCCAGGATGAAAGAGTTCTAGAGGTTTTAGTTTTACGTATTTTCTCTTAAGATATATCACTCGATATTAAGACCTGTTATTTTTCCATACAGTTTTCTCATTAACCGCATTGATTACCTGTTAACCACAGAATCCTATATTTTGAATAGATCTCTGCTTATTTGGAGCATTGTTTGTGTGTTTTGGATTTTTGTTTTGTTTTCAGAAAAAATAATGCAAAGCACTAGATAACACACTTTGTTCAGACTCTCAGCCTCATCTGAGGTACATATGAAACAACTCCTGGAAGTTTTGAGCGACCATTATTCTTTTTCATTTTTGTAGACCCCATCAGTTGTGTCACAAGACAGGACCACCAAACCATCTAGTCTGATCTTCTCCTTGTTATTGTGTCATTATTTTTCCTCCATCCTCCATTCTGACTGCATGTCAGGCAGGTTTTCCTCAATGTAAAGAAGAAATGTGTGGTAGTACCTGTACTAAGTGCCTATGGGTTTATTTTAGCAGAACATGAGGGAAAAAATAAAATATAAAATAAATAATGCCCAAGCAGCGGATGCAGTGAGAGCTAGTATATGAGAGTTCTTATGATGACCATGAGATTTTCATAGTCATCATAGGACCTACATCCTTAGGTAACTAATAAGTTGTGGCTTTTAAAAGATTCTGAGCAACACACAACACTGATGGTCTGTGTGGTCACTTTTAACCCATAGAAAATATGAAGGAGTTTACAATTATCTGAGTATCATTTAAAGTTACATTGAGCTACTAGTTACTTAACTACTGATTTGAGCATTCTCAAAGTGGACTGGCAGTTTCCACTTCCAGTCATCTGATGGTCATCTGATTAATAATGACTTGTTATGTCATGGTACTTCATGAACCCAGAACATTTATACAAACAATGCTAGATTCTGACAATATTTAATACTCGTATCCCTCTTTCTGCCTCAGGTCCTTTTCCAATACCCATGACTATGGTACCTCAGATTCCAATATAAGTACATCTCCATAATATTCCTGTGAGGAATGCAGTATTTTCCCATTCTGTACATAAAGTGTCATCAAAACATAGTGAAATTAAGTGATTTTCCCATTTAATCTGACAAAACACAGACAGACTTTTCAGAACAAAAGATAACTTTTTTTCATATTCCAAGTAAACAATTCTCTCCTTCCCACATGGGGAGACAAATATGCATTTATGGCTTTGTTCAGTAGTCTGCTGAAGCCAAAAACCTCCATTAGCAACTGCAGTAGAAGATTTAACTCCATTTGAGTCTTGCTGCACTGGTTGGTGACACTGAATTTCACTTCAGTGAGCTTTCAAGTGCATAAATACGAACTGATACCTTAGTCCATATGGACAGCTTCAGGCACCCACGAATGTATTATTTCAAAATGTGCACCATTATTAGAGATGTCTTCTATGAAATATATAATCTCATATTAAAATCATTTATTAAAATAATTAAAATTAATGTATATTATTGAAAAAAAATACATTGTACATTTCTTTTACTCCTGTCTAAATAAAAATAATAATAATAATAACAATAATAAACAAAGTACCTCTTTTCTGTTTTTTTTTTGTTTTTTTTTTTTTCTGTTTTTACAACTGCAACTCTGCTAACAGAAAGTGTTTTATACAGGTAATCTGTACTCGATCTGAAGAGTACAACAGCCAACAGTCTTTATGCAATGCCACTAGTGAAGGACCTATACTGCGAAATCCTGGGAACAATGACAAATCAAGGACTCCAAGGCTCCCATCTTCAGCTGAAGTTGAATTTTGTCTGTCACTGACTCAATATGAATCTGGATCCATGGATAAAATGGCCAATTACAGCTTCCGGAACACTTTGGAAGGTAACATATTTTATTCTGTTTTGCCATTTCTAACAGTAACTTGAATTCCTATAGGATTAGTGCCTTTAAACTTTATTTTTAGCTGGTTCCATGAAGCAAAACTAAAGGAAAAACTTCCTCCTGTAATAGCAACATAGAAAGAACCATGTTAAAGTTGATAAGAAAATAGAAACTGCAGGCTAGACCAGACCCTAAATCCTTCTATGAGATACTGTCTCTGCAATAATCAGTACCAGGCATAGAAATGTAATGTTGCATAAAAAGAGATCCTCTAATAACCTACTTACACATGATCATAACCTCGTCCATTTGGGTTACAGGACTGTCTTGGGGTCAACTTTATACCTAAAATGTTACCTTTAGTATCTCCTCCTAAAGCGTTTAGTTATTCCCCTTAGTTATCAAACTACCCATCTAGTTATAAAGGTTCCTAATTTTCTAAGAAACATGGATACTTTTGTAAATGGAATAGTTATTCTTAATCATCTATCAACCCAATCTCATTTGGATATTGCTAAATTGCTAATAAACAAGGATAGCACATTATAGCTATCAATAAATATTGCTTCTTTGCTGTATTATATAACTACTGAATCAAATAGGACATATTTACATCAATATTCCAGAGATTTTTGCTTGCAAGAAAGTATGCAAGTGACTAAACAATACAATATAGGTGTCCTTGTCCAGAGAAGGGTGACGAAGCTGGTGAGTCCAGAGAAGGGCGATGAAGCTGCTGAGGGGCCTGGAGAACAAGTCCTACGAGGAGCGGCTGAGGGAGCTGGGCTTGTTCAGCCTGGAGAAGAGGAGGCTCAGGGGTGACCTTATTGCTCTCTACAGGTACCTCAAAGGAGGCTGTAGCGAGGTGGGGGTTGGCCTGTTCTCCCACGTGCCTGGTGACAGGACGAGGGGGAATGGGCTTAAGTTGCACCAGGGCAGTTTTAGGTTGGATCTTAGGAAGAACTTCTTTACCGAAAGGGTTGTTAGACACTGGAACAGGCTGCCCAGGGAGGTGGTGGAGTCACCATCCCTGGAAGTCTTTAAAAGACGTTTAGATGTAGAGCTTAGGGATATGGTTTAGTGGGGACTGTTAGTGTTAGGTCAGAGGTTGGACTCGATGATCTTGAGGTCTCTTCCAACCCAGAAATTCTGTGATTCTGTGATTCTGTTGGTGTGAGGATAAGAAATCAAAGCTTTTAATATGTTCAGTATTGCTCTTAATGTAGTGTGGAATGCCATAAAGCTGTCTAGGGGGTGGGGGTGCAGTTAATGCAATTATTCCATTAAAAAAAAATATGTGAAATTTGTGTGCTGGAGGCAAAAGAGAATATAGACATTGATTCCAGCTCTGGATATAGTTTTGCTTTCTACCCTTGAAAACAGAAAACAAGTGAAATATGACAAAGAAAAAGGTGACATGACTGAGTAGAATTTTTGTACATTTTTCTCTATGAAGTATGTAAACAAATTCAAAGAGTAGAATAGGAAGAGTAGAGAAAAAGGAATTGAAGTAAACAAGTCATGAAATAATGACATGCTGTCAGTATTATAGACAAAAGCATAGCCATAGTCTTTGGAAGTTAAACAGAGCTATGGATATGTTTACTGAGTGGGCAGAATCAAAATGGACTCCTCACTTTCAAAGGCTATATTTCAGTATCATGACTGCTCATTAAATAAGGATAATTCAGTACTCGCATAAAAAGAGAAAAACCTGTGTTTGGTCAAAGTTGAGTCTAAACTGACAGCTAAACAAAGCCATAGATCAAGTACAGCCCTTTGAAGCAAAAATATACAAATAACATTTCCATATTAAATCAACAGTAGCTATTTGAAGTAAAAAAAAAAAAAAAAAAAAAAAAAAAAAAAAAAGGTCAATAACATTTGACAGAAATGTACCTACAGCTTCCAGAGAGTCAGGAAGTTATTTTAGTTCTAAAATCAGAATCAGTGTTCTGTCTGAATAATTTATCAAACCCTTTCCCTATTATTGTCTCTTTGTCATGTTAATTTCATGGCAGTCATGGTTGATCATGGCTTTATTGCTGTCATCTGTCAGTCATACCATGGAGAGGGTCATGCTTTAATCTGAATTTTGGGATTGTTACCATGTCTGAAAGGAGACCTTGTAGATCAAATTTTCCTCTAAGTAAGTTCTGTTGTGTCTAACAACCCTTCAGAAGCTGAAGAGTGTTCAGCTTTCTCCTTAGTGAGATGGTGAAGCTCCATCTCACCACCACAATCATTCAGATGCACTAGGTAGGCACTGTTAGGTTCTGGTGGATTTCATGTGATTTAGACAATACTTCCAACAGACTGGAGACAAAACTACATGTTACTGAGGAAGGACACAAGTCAAATGTTATCCAGAAGCTTAGGTTATTACAGAAGCAGTGTATGTTATCTTGGGTATATGTTGCGTGGCTTCTGGATGCATCCATTTAGTCCAGAGCAGGGGCAGAGCAAATTCATTCCTGTCCTATTGGTCCATCCAGATGTGCCTTCCCTAGCATGTACCACAATCCTTTCAGAACATCTGTATGATCCTTCATGTGATTCAAGGAGGGAAGAAAAGAGATGGAACTCCTTTTCTCTGGCAGTGAAGGCCATTTGCAAGTCCTAGAATCCATGTGAAGGGAAGCTGGGAGGCTGCAGAGAACCTCAGTGAGGAATGACTGAGGCAATGAATGTCTCCTCCTTAGAAATTTTGTAGACATGAAACCAAAAACCAAAACAATCCAATACTACAGTGCTCTCTCTGCTAGGGGAAATCCTGTTAGGTGACCATGTCCAGCTTCTAGTCCAGCTGCCAATACACTTACTAGATGCCTTATGGTTGTTTAATTTTAACAGCCCAGCTTAAGGAGATCTACAGAGCTCAAGAGCTGTCGTGGAAGAAAATAGTGCAGAATGCAGAAGTACTGCAGCAGCACATAACTACATGAAAATAACTCCTCCTTTCCTTTTAGCCTTATGGTATCTTTTATACTCAAGGACCTAGTCCTAAGATCTGATCACTCTGTTCCATGAAAGGCATTTTTTAACCCATTCTTCTAAAAATTGATACTGAAAACTCCAAAAGAATAAGACATTCCCTTCCAGTACAACTACCATTTCCCTCTGTGGTGCTTCCATGGGGAAAGCTGTTTCAGGGCGGTGATTTTAGTTCACTGTAAGGTTTTGGTTTAGCTATCTCTTTTTCTTCCTTCCTTCCTTCCTTCCTTCCTTCCTTCCTTCCTTCCTTCCTTCCTTCCTTCCTTCCTTCCTTCCTTCCTTCCTTCCTTCCCTCCTTTCCTCCTTTCCACCTTTCTTTCTTAAGTAAGACAAGGATTCCTGTCAAAATCTTGAATCACTCCTTTTCTTCCATATATATAAGCAATTTTGAATGACTCCCTTGTTATAAGTGTAATGTATAAAAGGTAAGACACTAAATGTGTATTAAGTGGCCTCATGGTATGAAAGCTCTTCTTACCTCAATATTCCACAAGGTTTACCAGCTGTAAAATGTCTTTATTTTCATTAACACAAATATGTCTCAATATACAGGGTTGGACCCCTCTGTTTGTTCTCAATTCATTAATCATTTTCTTATGCTTATGAGATACATATTGACTTTAACAGTGAACAAATGCAGAAAAAAAATAATGGCTATGAACAGAATTAGGGTGAGGACTATAACTTGTCCAAATTGACCTACTTTGACAGCACTTTCAGGTTTTTGTTTGTTTGTTTGTTTGTTTATTTGTTTTCCCAGGTAAATTCCTAATTTGTTTTACAATCATTAAAATAGAAAAGTAGCAATAATTACAAAACAGAATTTCAGAACACTAGGAAGATTTTGTCCATCAAATTAAGTTACTGCCTTCCTGTGTGCAGAAGAAGTTGTATGGGATATATACTACTAGTCTCCTGAATATTTTGAGAGACTTTTCTATTCCAATATGCAGCTAACTTGTCTATGGTATCACAGGCTGAAATTCCCCTGTACTACTAGAACTTTAAAGAAAGTGCTTTTGATTTTCACTCTTGGTGTACAACAGTATACAATAAGCACTCTTATAGCATAAGAGTGCATAATAATAGAACTCCGTTTAAAGAGGTCATGTAAGTTTTTGAAAAAGACAGGAAATAAAACATCTCAGAAAATATCAGCAGATTCCAGAGGACAGTAACCATGATATTACATTTCTTTCCATAAGAACATTTCATTAGAGCTAGTGATTGCTGGAGTGAAACTTTGCCCACAACATTCCATGATGTTGTGGTGATGAGCCTGTCAAAGTGCAAGCCAGACCCATCTCAATAGGTGTTTATCTGTGTTACTATAGTGATGAGCTTATTCCATCAGACATAGTATCGTTCTCAGATTTTTTTTTCCTTTGAGGATATTTTATTTTTGACCTGATGTATTTCAACACTCAATTTTATACTGCAGGTCCATAAACACTTCAGTCTATTCATCTAAAGAGAGACTGAACTGCAATACAACGTCAGGAATATATGTTTAAGGATGGTGGGAAGTTATTAAACTAGCTTTACTGCCAAAACCAAAAACAAACAGATAACAACAGCAAAACACAAAACCCACTGCTGCCACCAAAAATAAGCACACATATTTTGTTTGCTCCTTTCTTACAAGTGGTCTATTTGTTGTTGTTGTTGTTGTTGCTGTGTACATTTGCCAAGCTTAAATTCCCATTTTGCTTCCATTGTGCCAGTGCCCACTTCTGTGATGACATTTCTCACAAACCTCCTAATAGCTGTAGTTCCTAACATTTACTTCCTTTGCTAAGTGAAAATCTTTTCAATCCTTCTTTACTTGTTTACACAAGTTTGTGCCAATACACCTAAGGTCAAATTCTAATCTCTTTTAGATCCAAAATAAATCTAAGATAACTCCACTGACTTTAGTGGAGTTACTCAAGACTTACAAAAGATGACCAGAACCGGGCCAGTGACTCTAATGGAGTGGTTCTTGATTTACATTGAGAGTTTTGCTA